AAAATGTTTTTTGAGAGCATGCCAGCTTTGATTAAAAGTTTTGGTATGTTTAGTTCGTATCTCCTTTGTAAAATCATGAGAGTAGTTAAAAAGACCTTCAAGGTTCTCTTAATATTTGGGACTTTTTTTGGTGGGGGGGTGCACAGTTTTTTCCCCCTTTTACAAGGACTTGATATACTTTTGAGAAGTGTGAGGAAGTTTGAACCTCAACCTGTCAATAATGCCAGGAGGTCTGGGAATGGGGCCCATGGTTGTTTTTTTTTAAGTTTCCCAGATTATCATAACGTATAGTCAGAGCTCTCAAACACACCTGCTAAGAATCCCGTGGTCTTTCCAGCTGCAGGTCTTCCCATGTGCTCCTTTTTCCCTTGTAATGCCCTCCTCCCCACGTGTTCATGAAATTCTTTTCGCTCCAGATTTCCTTGGTGACACAGGGTGTTTCAGACAGGATGAGTAGTTCTCTCTCCCAGCCCAGAGAACCAGCTCATATGATATAGCACTAGACTCACAGTAGGATACAAAATAGGCTACTTGCTGCTTATGTACCCAAGTTATAGCATAGAAGTGTGCATGCATTAGGTATTAGCAAATAAGCCATTGTTTGACTTTAGATGAAATAACTTCAGCTCTCTGAGTGTGTTGACTCATCTAGAAAAAGCTCTTTCAACTCTGGCATCCAGAAATGCAATGTGAATATACCTGCATATCCAAACACGAAAGCATATAATGTGAAAACCCCAACTACATTTTTAGAAAATCGTTCAGTTAAAATGCTGTTAAAATGCGCAAACAACAGAAGAAACTCAAGTCTGTCACCTGAGTGGTGACAGCAAGGGGCTCCTGAGGGCCACCTGCATTTATTTAGGTGAGGCTCTCCGATGGAGGCCAGGAGGGCTGTGGGAGACGGGCTCTCTCCTGACTGTTGGGCAAGAAGGCCACAAAGCTTTGGCGGCTGTGGGTTATGTTCACATTGTTTTCCCCCATGTCTGCTCGCTTGCAAGAAAGAACATTTACTGCCTATAATCATTTAATTAATTATCCTTGCCTGTTCTTGTCAACAAGCTAAAAGTCAAGTTTATGATACAAATATAGTTAATGAGATAAGCAGGAAATCAGGAATTCTGCAAAGCCATTGACCGTCACCATAATGAATTCTGCTGATGACAAAGTCCTGACACCCTTATTAGCATCTTCTTATGGCACCTACTCTTTGAGTTTCTCCTAAACTTTCTCTTTTACCTTCCAGTGATTAAGGGGTGTAATCAAGGGGGTGGATGTGTGATGATACCACTTAGGATTTCACAGTCACAAAACGTCAACTCTCACTGTGTTGTCTGTGCCCTCATTTCCTAGGCTTTGAGAGAGAGAATGTAATTTTTTAAGCTTTTAAACCAAGGATTCTTTCTGTGTCTGGGGCTCTTCTGAGTACCATGGCATTTAAAGGGAGCTCTCCATCCCCATCCTGAGAGGGTCACTGCCTCTCAGCTGCTCCCCAAACCCTCAGAGGAAGAGCTGTTCACCCTCAGTCCCGGGTTAAAGTTCCTGTCCCCTCCAGCACTTCCTTTTTCTGGCAGCCTTGTCTGTGTTTCTGCACTAGCTCCTTCCTCTCTGTATGTAAAAATATACACGTTTTCTTCTTCAACATATCTGCTTAAAATAAACAAAACTGCCTTTTCTTAATTACAGGGTAGCTATGGAAAAATTACAGCGACTTCCACTACACTCTTTAAGACAGAACGGCATAGCCTGAAGTAACAAACACCACCAAAATCTCAGTGGCTTAACCCAGAGGTAGCTGGTGGTGGTCCGGGCCATATTCCAGGGCAGTTATTCTCCATGATGCCTCAGCGTTCACGTCCAATTCAGCCCATTCGTCAGCCATCACCACTGTCACAGAGGGGAAAGCTGGAGGGTTAAACATGGGTCATTAACTACTTCCAGCCAGGAGTGACTCACAGCCCACTTTTGCTCACAGGAATTGGCCAAAGCAAGTCACATGGCCTTGCCAAAGAGCCGGAAGCACAGTTCCCCTGGCTGGCCAGAAAAGGGGGGGTTTATGGGACTGTAGTTGTCCCATGTCCTGAAACCAGGACAGTCTCAGGCAAACCAGAAAGGTTAGTCACCCTGGGGGACATGGATATTGGTGAACAGTAGTGATGTCTGCCCTTTCAACTACACAAGATAGTTAAATGTTCTGGGCCTCAATGTCTGTGTGAAAAATGAGAATCGTGCTGCTCTCATAAGATGGCTAAATGGTATCATGTTGTATTATTTAGGTTTCTCCAGAGAAACATCA